TAGGCAAGCACGTTACCACTAGGATAACGCATTATTGCAATAACAAAATTTCATTAGGAGTATATATTTTGCAAAGGTATCGTTTTAAAAAATTGCTAATTTGTCAATTTCACTGAATATCTTTTCGATTTTCAAAAATTCAGTTTTTAAACGATCTTTCGATTGATTAGCCATTTAAAAAAGATAAAAATGGAATTATTTAGAAAAAAAAAAATGAAAGACGGCGGGATTGAACCCTGGCCATCGGCGTGGTAGGCAAGCACGTTACCACTAGGACAACGCGCTCATTCAAAATTATAAACTCATTAGTGGTATATGTTCAACATATTGAATAATTTTTTCCATTGAAATTCCACAAGATGTGGTTTCCCCCTTCCGCACGTTCTACAGTCACTGAATTTCTGTTAAACAAATAAAAAACAAAAAGCATTCATACCGCAGAAAATAAAATTCACCCCCTCGACTTGATGGACACCCCAGCATTGCGTGTGCGGCACAAATAAAAAATTCCTTTCAAAATCGATTAGGCTGATTAGTCGATTATCGAAAATCGACTTCAGACAATCGATCTTTGATATATCGATTATGAATAATCGATATTTAAAAGATCGATTTTAGATTGAAAAACCCTAGGCCCATCCGGTCAATCCTGTGTCGATATTTGTGGCATATTTGTGGGTTTTTTTTTAATTTTTAATACAAAGAAGATTGTGACAATTAGAGATAATGATGCAAGCGATGAGGAGAACACTTTTTTCAACAGCTTTGTAAGTTATATTTATTTCCCCGATTTCCCATGTGATTTATTATCAATTACATAATTATTAACCTAGGAGCTGTCGGAATGCAATATATTTATGATTTTTCAAGAAAAAATTCATTGCATTCACGAAAATTCTTGATAACAGAAAAAATCCAGTGAATTTCCATGATATTCACAAAAATAAATCCCAAAGGTCTCGGTAGACATAAACAAAATTTTTCTCCGGTTTTTTAATAATCTAATCTAATAATTATAAACTGTCAATTGCCGAAGACGTAGGAAGGATGGAGTGATGAGGTCCAAGCACACACTTCCTGATTTGCCCTACGATTACAAAGCCCTCGAGCCGATAATCTGCGCCGAGATAATGCAGCTTCATCATTCCAAACACCACGCGACATACGTCAACAACTTAAACATCGCCGAGGAGAAGCTCAAGGAAGCTGCTGCCAAGGGTGATGTCAGCAGTCAAATCGCCCTGGCCCCTGCCATCAAATTCAACGGCGGTGGACACCTCAATCACTCCATTTTCTGGTGCAATCTCTCTCCACACTCCAGCAAGCCTGATCGTCAGTTCTCCAAATATTTCATAATCCATCACTTGAAAATTTATCATTACAAATCCCTAAAATGATACAATTTTCTCGACTCCCGATTAAAACTGGAACCAAAACTATTCATGAGAGAAAGACAATCGAATTATTTATTTATTATAAATTTAATTAGCCACTGGAGTTCCAATTTCCACTCTGAATCGATAATAATATATGAATCCGTAATATATCCTCGAAATTTCGAAGGGCTAAGGAGAGAAATGGCGAACTCAACATTTTGTATTCCTCAATTTTCAGCTGCACTTGTAAAAAAAATCGAGCAGGACTTCACGAGCTTCGATGAGTTCAAGAAGCGTCTGTCCGAGGCCACAGTGGGGATCCAGGGTTCAGGCTGGGGCTGGCTGGGTTACAATCCCAAGGATAAAAAATTACAAATCACCACGTGCGCTAATCAGGACCCTCTCCAGGCTACGACCGGCCTGATTCCTCTATTCGGAATAGACGTGTGGGAGCACGCCTATTATCTCCAGTACAAGAACGTACGTCCTGATTACGTTAAAGCCATATTCGATATTGCTAATTGGGAGGATATTAGCGAGAGATTCAAGAAAGCTGCTGGATGCTAAACTCCACGGTCTCCACTCCAGGGAACTGTCGATTATTAGATTCACACTGTGCATTTGAATAGATTCGACGCACGAGACGAGAAGAATAATCTAGGCCCTTCTAAAACCAAGCGGAGGTAGTCTACATTTTTTTTTATGATTAAAATTGTTATTAAAAATCAATTCTTGTTATTTCTTTATCATATCTTCATAATATCAAATCGATAACACGTACTATTCATTTATTATTCTCGCATTAATTGTAATTAATGAATATTTCCTGGTATTGTGATTATAATTTTTGCATTAATCGATTGATTCCGTATCTCTCGTAGATGACGTTAATAAAAGAGGCAGAAAGGGGAAAAATTCAAGAGTGAGAAATAATTTTTTATCACAACCCCCAGGGGGTGAGGGACTTCCACGATTTTTGAGGTATAATTATTTTTTTTTAGATGAAATTTACATTTTTTTTTTCTATCGCTGATGGGATATCGCTCTTACCGATTGTTACTCCAGTGATCCCTGAGTTATCGGTAAATTCCCACCGAGTCCCAACCGAGTCCTGAAGATGGTCTCACTCCGATTTTCTGAATCCCCTCATTCCTGACAACTCAGGCATTATCGCTGAATCGCTTCAGCTGTTTTCAACATCCTCTTGGGGTATGTGGTGAGTCAAAGTTCATTAATCTCACTCGAGTTTGTATTTTTATCCACCAATTAGAAGATCATGATTCTTTTTTTTTTTCAGTTTATCGGAATTGACAGTCTCGAATCGTGACGCTTTTATTTCATTTGTTTTTTCGGGCTGTCAGTCTTTGACAGATCATTTATTCAGAATTATCGGCACCAACAATACCTGTTTTATCCTCTTTATGACTCATCCCAATTAAATAACGTTTATTTTACTAGTTAACAACAAAAAAAAAATTAACGAATGAAAATCAAAATCGAATCGCTCTTTCCAGGAAATATCGCTTATTGTTTTTTTATTATATATATTTTATTTTTTATCTTCATAATAATAATGATAATAACTCATTAATTTTTTAAGTGAAAAATACTTTTATCCACAAATATCCCAATAAATTATAATTAATTGATTAATAGTGACAATAATAATTTCATAGAAAAAATTCTCTTGTAAATCTATTAGAAATTTGTTATAAAGTTTTAAATAAAATTGAAGAAAATTCAATTGACTTCGAATTCACAATTTAAAAAAATATCCGAAATATTAATGATTAATTTTTTTTTTATTCTATTCACTTCCCCTTCCGCGAATTTTCTCTGCATGAAAAAAATTGCACTGCAACCGTTTGAATTTTATCAAAAAAAACTTTCGAGTTCTGATGAAAGTGGATTTTATTAATATCAATATGCGCTAGGGGTTGAAAATAAAAGTGTGCCGAGGGGGTGGATAAGGGGATGATTCGTGATTGGAGCCTACATAGGCGAGAGGGAAAGGAAAAAAAAAATTTATTTCTCGAGACCTAAAAAACATCCCCTCACACCAATGACCCATTGATTTTCCCGGTACAACCCCCAGTAAATGCGCAACTGTATTCCGAAATTAATGAAAAATAAACAGCCCCTCAGGAGGAAAAGCTCTCATTTAAGGCTGACTTAATTGAAAATGCCAGGGGTAGTCCGGGTGCTGTTAAAATTCAAGCTTAATTAGATCCTGATGAGGATAACATTAGCAAGTGCTTTGATTTTTCGAGGACAAAAGGTCAAGTGGAGGGGTCACAGCTCCTGGTGGTAATAACCCTAAAAACTCATGGGATTGCATTAAATTCCCACGGAGTGGAAAATATTTGAAATATTCATTCCTCGGCGATGGCGTCGAGGAGCAATGGCTGGCGTAGACACCAGACGCCATCGATCTTCTCGTCCTCTGCATTCACTCGTTTTTTCTCCATTACACCCCTCCCATAAATAAATAAATAAATAATAAACCGGAGGGTGAAAATTTGTGTCACCCGATTACTCGCGACAATGGGTGACGCCCCATCGTCCAATAATTTCACCCTGTTATCGCCAGTCATCGATGATGATTTTCGATATTTCACCCCCAAAATTCATCCCTTAAACTGCAACTGCCAGGTAGACGATTGATCTTTGAGTGATCTTTGAGTGATCTTTGATTGATCTTTGATTGACAACTCTGATTTCATCTCCACCCATCAACAATCGACGGACAATTGACGAGGGGGTGGTAATTATCTGGAAATTGTCTGCCTAACTCACCCTCATCTCAAGGTCACGATGGTTGTGATAACAACTCTGGAATTCGGTGAAACCGTGGGGTTCCTAAATTGTTCCCGATTTTCACCCCTCCCCATCCCAAATCCCACGTGACAAAATTTCACCCCTTGACCTAAATATCCCCTTCTTTCGCCCTACGGTATTAACGATTCAATTGTAAATAAAATTTTCCGCCCCTTTTTGCAGTAATGACTCAATTCTCCAATAACGCAGAATTCAATTTCTGACAATTATTGATTTATCTCGATAACTGATCATCGGAGAGAGAAACATGAATACCCTTTTTTGTTGCTAACTCGATTTCCGAGAAATAAGTTCTTTTGATATTTTCTTCTAAAATCAATAGTTTCCGAGATAAACTTTCATTTAACGATCCTAAAATCGTTCTTTAATCATCGAATCATCCATTTCGCTACTGGTTCATCAGGTCGTCACATTAAATTTCCTGAATGATCAAATAATGTTGCAATTGCCGATCCAGTCAATACCTTGAAGACATTTCTTATTTATATTGCCCACACGTACCTATAAATACGCCGATCCAATCGTAAATACAAACGAGATTATTTACAGTCTCCAATCAACAGCATAAATCGTGTTACCGATTCGCATAATTCGATCTGATATTCATCCAGACCTAGTCTACCTTCCAAAATCAATTCCCCAAGACAATCAGACACCTGGAGAAGAATCCTCTCGATTTTATTTTCCTCGAAGAACCAGAGGCTGCGAATTTCCCATGCGACCATTAAACCCTCATCACAGGGATTATCACTGCTCCTGATGATTCGATAATAGTCGAACCCCCAGAAAGCTCGGAGGTCTCATTCATCAAAATTTCGACAGAATCGATTTCCAAAATCGTTTCCCCCTGGGCCAACACCAAATGGTCATCCACATCGAGCCTAATCCGACAGGTGAAAATTAATTTAACCCATCAACGATCTCAACCAGGCACACCAAATTACTCGATAATTAAACAAATTCTTTTGTCCACTCGATCCACCAATTGCACTCTCTCTACACCATGCGACCACCAACGTATGCCCCAAGTAAATCGATCATAATGGATATGCCACACCACGACCACTCACAATTGGGTACCCAGTATTCGATTGAACTTTGTTGAACCAGAAAACTGGACAATCAACAATAATTTATTATTATTATTATTATATATATAAATATATATAAAATATATATAACACCATCATCAACATAGGATTTCGCCTAAGGCTCAGGATCGACTGACACACGACAAATAAAACAAATGCATTTAATTATAATAAAATAAAATGCAAGAGTGATAAATGAATTTTTGGATTATTTAAAATATTCCAAAAATTATTATTATTATTAAAGGAGATAATTTTTTTTCATGACGAATGGATTTTTCATTATTCAAGGCCGATGTCCTTTGGGGGAGGTTTTATCCCCGAGTCCTTCTCCATCGGTTTGATATGAGAGCTGGTGGAGGTGGGGTTGGAAGGACAAGGCTATCCAGCACTTCCTTTTCTGGAAGTCGACCATATTGATTGTCTCGGTTCTTGTGAGTCCTCAGCAAGTTGAGAATTGGCCGGCGCCGCCCGTTCCCTCGGGTCGATCGTTTGCACCGTGTGACGTCACGACGCCACATAGTCTGCCCTATTGATTTTTTAGCTGTTGGTGATACCCCTCAATCCCCCACTACACCAATATCTCGGCAAATTGCAGTGCAACATGGTACAGTAAAATTCCGATTGGTTGATGATGTCGACCAATTCTATCACGCAGGTGCATTGAGCCTGTCCTTCCATTTTGTTCATGATGGGATTGACCGGTTTGGTGGCGCTGATGTCGTCAGGTCGAAGAAATACGAATACCACCATTTAGTGTGCCAGCGACCATGATCGTCGTGTCACACCTGTCACAATACATGAAATTCAATTTAATTTATCAACGAGTGTCACATTAATTCGTCAGGATCATGACGGTTTGGAGATCGCAGTGCAGTGGTGATGATTTTACGGGATTGTTCTAGTTTGAGGTGTCACTGTGCTATTATTGACAGATAAATCCTCCCTTGGGGTGGTGAGCTGTTTCTCAGGTACTGGGGTAAGCTGTCGAATTGTCGAATATTCGTGGTACTTTTCGGGGTCTAGTTGCGATTTTTTGTGGAATCCAGAGGTTTCCGTGGGATTGCAGGGTAGGGGCTTGGGTGAATCGATTGAACGTACGGGTGTTGTTTTTCTTGCCATTTGAAAGGTACTGGCGAGGTCGTGCCCGTTCAAGGCTTCGAAGATGGAGGATATTCTTTCAGGCTGGCAATCGAGTTGTTGTGTACCTATTGTTGAGGTGATGAGAATTGTTTGATCGGGTACAATGGAAATCTTCCTTTGTTCTGGACTTTTGACGGAAGAACAAAACCTCGACACTTAAAAGGAAATAGAGTCCTTGGACTCGATCGCTTAGTAATTGGTGATCCTGAATATGAAGATATCAATGATGAAATTGAAAATCCATTGGATCCTCGAGTTCTTTCGGTTTTAATAATTATTTATCCATTTTTTTCCAATTTTTTGAAAGACTCTGGTTGCACTCAATGTCGTGGAAGCACAGGTTCTCATTATTATCCAGTCTTTATGAATAATCAAGCTTTACTATTTGGAAATAGTGCACGTGGGAGGTGAATGAGAATCGGTGGGCTGCAAGTGGAGCGAGTCAATAATCGAGGAACTTGTCTGCGTCACTACTCTCGATACGCGAATAACAATCTTCCGTGATTCATCCCTCGTACCATAAATCCCCCACACTCTCATTCCTCTCGTTTTTAGAAATTGCGGGGTTGAATGTCCACCCCTCCCTGTTGAGACAGAACGGATGAATCATCCGCGAATTGAGAAAATGGCATACCCATAGTATATCCTTCACACCATTTTTCCGACTACGAACCTGGGTTGCACCATTTTGAATTTATATACTTCAAGTCGACTCGTCTTTTGTAATGAGTGCTTGTGTTACATCTACACGTTTTATTTATTTATCCTACTCGTAGAAATAAAAATATTTGAAAAATTTTTGATGCCTGATAATTATTACATATTATTTCTTCCTCGACCGTTCACACCATTAATTGATCCCCACCAGACGGGAAGTCACCTTCAATAACGAGAGTCACGAGAGATTACTCTCATGATTCCATTAATTTTTCTGAATCATTTTAAATGATTTGACAATAAATGGGAATTTATTCGATCGACACGATCGACGCAGCTGTTGAACCCGCAAAGATCCAAATATTCGACCTAGTCCAGATATTCTTTAAATGAAATCTCCCCCCGTGGCAAGCCTGGACAACAAAAAATGCGTTGTATTTGTGCCGAGGCCAGATAAATGTCTAGGGAGTACGGTGGCGATAAAGCCCTAATAATGGCGCTCGTAAATGAGTCATTAGTGGTACGCGACAGTATTACAATCACCGGAGCTTTTCAGTAGAAATGATGATTACGTATAGTTGAGAATCCTCTAGAGACTGCGATGTAGATCTGCGGGGTTGTTTCAGAGATCGTAAATTATAAAGAGGAAGAGGACTTGAAGAGGCCCCAAGATGTCGTCCGTGAAGGTTGCGGTGAGGGTACGTCCCTTCAACAACCGCGAGATATGCCGCGAGGCGCAATGCATCATCGAGATGGCAGGCAATACAACATCGATAGTCAATCCAAAAGCGCCACCAGGAACAAAGGAAGCAATCAAGAGCTTCAACTATGACTACTCATATCATTCGATGGACGCCGATGATCCTAACTACTCGTCCCAGATAATGGTGTACAAGGACATCGGTGAGGAGATGCTTCAGCACGCCTTCGAGGGCTACAACGTCTGTATTTTTGCCTACGGCCAGACTGGAGCTGGAAAATCATACACAATGATGGGTAAACAGGAGGAGGGACAGGAGGGCATCATCCCCCAGATCTGCAAAGATCTCTTTCGCAGAATCAGCAGCAACACGAGTGACACTGTCAAACACTCGGTTGAAGTGTCATACATGGAGATTTATTGTGAACGAGTTCGAGATCTTCTGAATCCAAAGAACAAGGGTAACCTCAGGGTTCGTGAGCATCCACTTCTTGGCCCCTATGTTGAAGATCTGTCCAAGCTCGCTGTGATGTCTTACGAGGATATTCATGATCTCATTGACGAGGGCAACAAGGCACGAACAGTTGCAGCGACCAACATGAATGAGACATCATCAAGATCGCACGCTGTCTTCACGATATTCTTCACACAGCAGAAACACGACTCCACCACGGGATTGGTCACGGAGAAAGTCAGTAAGATATCTCTGGTGGATTTGGCTGGCTCTGAGCGAGCTGATTCAACTGGTGCTAAAGGTACTAGACTCAAGGAAGGTGCAAACATCAATAAAAGTCTTACGACACTTGGAAAAGTCATCAGTGCTCTTGCAGAAATTGTAAGTACACGATCAATTATTCAATCTCATCATTCCCTAGCTATTCTCCTACTAATATACTTGATTATTGTAATGCTTCTATCGGGTAATAGGCGGTAAGTACCATTGGCCATCACTAATTACCTGATGTACTCAGACTCTGAATCGATTCCGGTTGGAACTCTTGATTATGGATTACTTTCGATTGCAGGCAACAAAGAAGAAGAAGAAAGCTGAGTTCATACCGTACAGGGACTCGGTGTTGACCTGGCTTCTTCGGGAGAACCTGGGGGGCAACTCCAAGACAGCTATGATCGCAGCTGTCAGTCCTGCTGACATCAATTACGATGAGACACTCTCGACGCTCAGGTTAGTTATTATAATATGTAAATGCTCGAACGATATTTTATCCAGAATTCTCGGGGTAGATATGCTGATCGTGCTAAGCAGATCGTCTGCAAGGCAGTCGTCAATGAGGACGCAAACGCCAAACTCATACGTGAGCTCAAAGAAGAAATACAGAAGCTTCGAGAGCTCCTCAAACAAGAAGGCATTGACGTGCAAGAAGGTCAGTATAATTACAAGTATATAATGCATAAATTATAATTATATATTGACTACATAATTACATACGAATGTCTCTGGTGTGGAAGGGTAACTGAGAATAGGTTAAATAGCGCTGATGGCAAATTCCAATCATCTAGATAATTGTTTTTTGTTTTTCTATCCCAATTGCGCTCAACCGTAGGGCCAGATGGTAGAGTCTCTTATGAAAAGAAAGAATCTAGTAAGTAAAGATGATAAAATGGAAAGATCAGAGTTAAAATCCAGCAAACACCGAATCCTGAAAGTCATTTCCTGTGCATTTGCTCATCCATTGTGCTTGCCCGGGCTTTTTCGTTGGCAAAAACATGGCAGAGAGTTAAATACTGAGTAATTTAGCGCAGGCTTTCTCCATTATTGTCTTTTTATTTTGCATTTCAATCCTCTCGCTGTTACAAATCCCTGGATCACATGTACCCATTTGACAATATTCAATTCCTCATCCAGCGAGTGCACGGCTCAGGCATTATTTCAGGCACAATTACTCTGATTGAATGTGCGAACGCAACCGTCGACGGGCTTTCGGTGTGATGGCAGAGGCGCTCGGCGTCCGAGGAATATTCTTTGAGAGCTTTTGCAGCTCTTGGTGGAATTGTGGGATTTTTTTTTCTCAAAAAGAACAGACAGCGTCGGACGCCGATCCTTCATGCAACATCTCTCTCATTTGTACTCATTTAAAATTCAAAACAAAGAGGCGAGGGGTTTTTTGGGGGATGGCTCTTCACCTGGTGCTTTTTACTCTAGGGGAGGATGCTATTATTAAGAATACCAAGAGGGAGGAGGACATCAAGGAGGCGCGTCAGCGTTTACCTTCCCATCCGACCGCTGAAGAAGCTGTCGAGCAGCTTCAGGCATCGGAGAAACTCATTGCTGGTAAATACTGATGGTTATTCTGGCTCGATGATTATTCTGAAAATTGAATTAATCAATATTACGTTGTTTTAATTATTATCGTAGAGTTGAATGAGACGTGGGAGGAGAAGCTGAAACGTACCGAGTCGATTCGCCTCCAGCGAGAGGCTGTCTTCGCCGAAATGGGTGTTGCTGTTAAAGAAGATGGTGTGACTGTTGGTGTATTCTCACCGAAGAAAACACCACATCTCGTTAATCTCAATGAAGATCCACTGATGTCTGAGTGTCTCATTTATTACATCAAGGATGGATTCACGAGAATTGGATCAGCCGAGGCTAATATTCCCCAGGACGTTCAACTCTGTGGCCCCTACATTCTCAGCGAGCACTGCGTTTTTGAGAATCATGAGGGTGTTATAACCCTGATGCCCAAAACTGGTGCACTGATATACGTTAATGGACGGGAAATCAGCGAGCCTATTGTCCTGAAGACAGGCTCCAGGGTGATACTTGGGAAGAATCATGTGTTTAGATTTAATCATCCGGATCAGGTCAGGGAACGGAGGGAGAAAAATTCACCGGCTGATACTCCGGGCACTGGTGAAACACCGGGATGTGGGGAGAGTCCGGGTAATGGGGAGACTGTTGATTGGAATTTCGCCCAGATTGAATTGCTTGAGAAACAGGGAATTGATCTCAAGGCGGAGATGGAGAAGCGTCTGCTGACTCTGGAGGAGCAGTACCGAAAGGAAAAGGAAACCGCTGACCAGCGGTTCGAAGAGCAGAGAAAGGTAATCCACTTAATCACTCGATGCTCATTATATTTGAGGTTTTATCATTGTTTTATGATTAATTATTGTTAACCGCAGAATTATGAGGCACGGATAGATGCTCTTCAGAAACAGGTCGAGGAGCAGAGCATGACAATGTCAATGTACAGCAGTTATACGCCTGAGGATTTCAACAATATCGAGGAAGATATATTCGGTAAATATATCATGTATTCGCTGTTGAGTGATACTTTAAGTTGTCAATGAATTTGCTTTGCTTCGATAATGCTAGATTATTATTGAATTATTCGTGATGAATATATTGCTTTTTGCTATTCTGACTATTTCGCCTGGTGATGGCTTGCATTTCAGTCAACCCATTGTTTGACGCAGAGAGCAACTGGAGCGAACGGGAATTCCAGCTGGCTGCGTGGGCATTTAGAAAATGGAAGTATCATCAGTTCACTTCACTGCGGGATGATTTATGGGGGAATGCTATATTCCTCAAAGAGGCTAATGCCATTTCCGTTGAGCTCAAGAAAAGGGTAAATCACAAATATTTGGATTGGACATCGTCATTATTCGTTTTTTCTTTTCATCGATTAATCGTTTACATCAACATCGATCGAGGCATTAAGAGTAATTTAAACAATTTATGCATGTATTATGCATAAACGTCGCCATTTTCTTACGTATGATTCACTCAGTTGCGTATCCTCTCGCCAAATATCTGGATGTAAGGAAATATTTGACTAGAAGATGACGCCCTCGTGTCTCGCTTCAGGCTCTTCTCTTTAATTCACGTATTTTGTCTATAATTTTTTAAATCCACAGGTTCAATTTCAATTTACTCTGCTTACGGACACGCTTTATTCGCCTCTACCACCGGATCTTCTGCCGGCTGTTGAGGATGACGAGGAGGAGGAGAGGCCATTCCCACGTACAATAGTCGCTGTTGAGGTGCAAGACACGAAAAATGGCGCCACCCACTACTGGACGCTCGACAAATTGCGGTGAGTCATTCGACAAATAAAGATATTAGAGTTGGGATGAGAATAAAATATTCAGTAGTCGTCATTTCACGCCATCTCCAAGGCAAAAGAGATTCAGGATAATGCAGGAGATATGTTTAACGAAGTGGCCAGTTGTAATTCGATAACTAGATTGTTGTTTCGTCGAAACGGCAATTCTAGGCGATTAGGGCAGAGCAGCGTCACTTTTATCGCCACTAAATCGTGTTTTTTTTTCTCTCTTTCAAATGTTAAATTGTAGACAGCGCTTGGAGCTGATGCGTCACATATACAATGAAGACTTGAGTCCCAGCACTCCGGAGGCCAAAGAGGATATATTCCAATGTCTCACTGCGTACTCTAATCAGAGGTTCTCGCTCGCAAATCTTTTGCCTTCGAGGTTGGTGCTCGGTCGCACGAAAACAGAAGCTGAAAAATATATATATACATCATTCAAATGAGAATCATTAGCTCTCTATCTCTGTCCCAATTTCTGCATCACCAACACCATTCATTTGACACATAGGACTCTCCTTTTGTCTTTGAGTATTGAGCGCACGTTGGCATTAAAAAGGCTTCGAGCATTTGCTGATACTTCAGCTTTTCTTATTTCATAGTCCCTTTCACTCCCTGGACTCGATGACTTTTTTATCCAGCACAGAGCTTGAGCTTTTTCAGCTTCAGCTTTGGCTTTTAATGTGAGAAACAATGACCCTGGAACTTTCTCTATACCATTCGTTCCACTCGCATGGATTTTTTTTTTTTTTTGGTTTCATGGAGAACATTGGTTTTTCTTTTTCGTTGTTGTCACTCGGGCTTGCCTCATTCGATTTTTTCGCCAGCAGACAGCGCCTGGAGTTGATGAGGGAAATGTATCACAATGAGGCGGAACTGTCGCCAACATCACCGGATTATAATATAGAAAATATCACGGGTGGAGATCCATTTTACGACAGGTTCCCCTGGTTCCGCATGGTTGGAAGGTAATATCTATTGATGATCAGCGTTGACTGAGAGAATCAGTCATCAATTACTAAAAATACCTGGATCCCTGTTGGCAGATCTTTCGTTTACTTGAGCAATCTGATGTATCCAGTGCCCCTGATCCACAAAGTGGCGATTGTCAATGAAAAAGGAGATGTCAAAGGATATCTGCGAGTGGCAGTGCAGGCAGTGGTCGGTACGTATCCATTCGCCCCAATCCTCAATTATTTCTCTGACCTCGACATGTTCCAGAAGAGGAAAACAGTGAATACTCGAGTGGTGTGAGACAATCAGCTCGAATCTCCTTCGACGACGATCTCTTCGGGACACCACGTCCCGGCAAAAGAGCAACACTTCTCGCTCAGACTTTGGAGAAGAATCAGCAGATACTGATGCAGGAGGAGCGTGTGGTGGAGGGCAAGGGCGAGGGCAAAGAGGGAAAGGATGAGGAGGAAGTGGGTGATGCTGACAGTGGCAGAGGTGACAGCTCAGTTGCCAGCGACATGAAGGAAGAGGATTTACCTGATCATCTCCAGCCTGGAGTTGAGTTCACATTCAGGGTGACTGTACTCCAGGCAATGGGCATCTCCACCGAGTACGCTGACATATTCTGTCAATTTAATTTCCTTCACAGACACGACGAGGCATTCTCCACGGAGCCAGTTAAGAACACTGGCAAGGGCAATCCCCCAGGATTCTATCACGTACAGAATATCACCGTTACCGTCACCAAGTCATTTCTGGATTATTTGAAATCTCAGCCAATTGTTTTCGAAGTATTTGGCCATTATCAACAGCATCCACTGCACAAAGACGCCAAATTGGATTATGGAGTGAGACAGCCACCAAAACGCATGCTACCACCATCAATTCCCATAAGCCAACCAGTACGTTCACCGAAATTTGGATCAGTCCTACCATCACCGAGCACCTCTCACGTTCACGCCAAATACGATGTGCTCGTTTGGTTCGAAATATGTGAATTGGCACCCAATGGCGAGTACGTACCGTCAGTCGTTGATCACAGCGATGATTTACCCTGTCGTGGATTATTCCTCCTTCATCAGGGTATTCAGCGTCGTATTCGTATTACTATTGTTCATGAGCAGGCGTCTGAGCTGCGCTGGAAGGACGTCAGGGAACTCGTTGTCGGCAGAATTAGAAATACTCCAGAACCTGAGGAGGAGGACAATGACTCATCAGTTCTCTCACTCGGTCTCTTCCCAGGTGAGTACGTGGAGATTCCTGGAGACGACAGGTGTATGTTCAGATTCGAGGCAGCGTGGGACAGCTCTCTTCACAATTCAGCTCTTCTCAACAGAGTAACGTCTTATGGAGAACAGATATTCATGACAATATCCGCTTATTTGGAATTGGAAAACTGTGGGAGACCGGCTATTATCACTAAGGATCTCAGTATGATTATTTATGGGAGGGATGCCAGGGTGGGGCCTAGGTCACTTAAACACCTGTTTAGTGGTAGCTACAGGAATCAAGAGGCTAATCGACTCAGTGGTGTTTATGAGCTGGTGCTGAGGCGTGCCTCCGAGGCTGGTGTTCAGAGACGTCAGCGCAGGGTTCTTGACACAAGCTCCACGTATGTCAGGGGTGAGGAGAATCTCCATGGATGGAGACCCAGGGGTGATAGCCTCATCTTCGATCACCAGTGGGAGCTCGAGAAACTCACTAGGTTGGAGGAAGTCGAGAAGATACGGCACACACTTCTACTCAGGGAGAAACTTGGAATTGATAAGATTGCAATGTGCAACAAGACTTGTCATGACTTCACTAAGAGCGAGAAGGTACGGGCATCCCTGGTACGTCCATGCGTATTAGAGGTAGAAAATGCTTCAAAATATTATTTTTTAGGGGTAATGTGCACTCTGATATTACAGTTGCTGTAATTATTCATTAATTTTAACTGGTTAATTCGTTATTTTATTAAATCATTCATTTTTTTATCAGGAGGTCTGCAATATGGTGGCTAAGGCAACCAACGAGCCACACGCTAGTCCTGTAAAACTCAAAAAATCCACCAGCAAGGATGTCTATGAACCCTGGGAGATGACTGACCATGAGAAGGAACTCGCTACTAAATATGTCAAACTCATTCAGGGAAGAATCCCGAGTAAAGAACCTATTGTACTGTCTGATGTGTCACCGGGGGATGACACCACTGATATGTCAACATCGATGATGTCTTCGGTTGTATCGTCATCGTCTCAAGAGTCAGTATTATCGAGAAGCTGTTGTGATCAGCAGGTAACACTCCCTGTATGCCTGAAACGCCCTGTAGCGGTTGTCCAGTTGCGTGGAAAAATAACTCGCTTCACTGCTTCCTAAATATTTCCAAATCTTTCCAATTCATTTAAATATTTCAATATTTTTTAATCAATCCCAGGGATCGGCACTCACCACTCATTTTCTGATTATCTCAAATTAGTAAATTTAGGAAAAATATCAGTTGAAATATTCCTCGCAAGATAATTATTAAAAATACCAATTATAATTTATTCCTCCTGACAATAGGGTTTACCCTAGGGAGGGAATTAATGACTCGAATCGATTCCGATGTAAATAACAATGATATGTATTCTCCTTTCGATTTTTTACTGCCGTCACTCGGGGTTAAGAACCGAAAATAAATACAAGAAAATTATATGACTCACGATTGTGGAGACTAGCAATCACAAAAAATAATGTTGGGGTTGGTACAGGAGGAAATGAGGGCATTCACTCTAGGTGGGGGTAATTCCTCAATATTTTTCCTGTCTTCATGTCAATAATCGTAGTGTCATTGGGAGCGCCGACATAATGGCCGTCACTCATCGCCAATTCCTTCTTCTCCTTCTTCGGTGATTTTCGTCTATTGTTCGGGTGTTATCGGGCGGTTAGGAAGTCCTCCCGGTAGGTTAATTGGGTGGTGTCTTGGGGCGGTCTAGGCGGTCAGGGGGCGGGGGAGGAGACTGAGGGGAATGGGCCCAACGGGGGCATTAAAATTTTATAGAATTGTTTATTAATTTAGGGGCTCAGTTACATGGGTAAACAAGAATAAATAAATGAATAAATAAATGAATAAATAAATGAATGAATACATAAATAAATAAATAATAATGAAATAATTTGATAAAAAATTCTGCCGATCCCTGAATCAGCTAGTGCATTTGTTCAACGGACAACCGCAGATGATTGAAATCGTGCGTTGGGGTTGTGTAGACACGGAGTGTTACCTTGCAGCCAGCTGGGATTGTTATCAGGAGCTGTTCTAAGTCGTGCATCTTTAGGTTGAGCTCACCGGAACGTGCTAGACTCCAAGAGCTCCAGGAGAGCATGATGGCAGGCGAAACGGCGAGTCAGTCTAGCTCCCTGGCACCTGCACCCCTGGGCTCGACTTCGCCCTTGAAGGAGAGTCTAGTGCTCTATGTGCCAGAGGTAGAGGAGATACGTATTTCACCTGTTATTGCGAGGAAGGGATATCTCAATGTCCTCGAGCACAAGACAAATGGCTGGAAGAAGAGATGGGTGGTGAGCTCTTGGTTTTTAATTTTTTTAATTTATTAAGTCCTGGGGATTGTAATTAATCGGAGATTTTTAGGCTGTCAGGAGACCATATGTCTTCATATTCAGGGAGGAGAAGGATCCTGTTGAGAGGGCACTCATTAATCTCGCTACAGCTCAGGTTGAGTACTCCGAGGATCAGCTGGCAATGGTCAAGGTACCAAATACTTTTAGCGTTGTTACCAAACACAGGGGATATCTTCTGCAAACACTTGGTGACAAGGAAGTTTATGACTGGTTGTACGCGATAAATCCACTTCTTGCTGGACAGATTAGATCGAAACTTGCACGCAGGGGACCCACGACAAATCCAACAACAATAACTTTAACTGCACCATCCACAGACACACAGACACAGGCCAAGTGAGTCGCGGAATCTCTCGCTGATTACGTTAGTGTCATCGCAAATACTTCGAGGGGTATTATCAGAGGGTCTCACAGGGTCATCGAGGCCCAGGACTTTTGTAGGTTTCGATTTACCGTGATTTTTGAGTAACATCCATGTCCTTGATTTTTCATCATTTTTTTTATTGCTCGTGGAATTATCACTGGTTTTTTCAATTTCATTGACAAATCTCGCAATCGATGGGAATTCTATTTGTACTCTTGTGACAATTCTGTGAATGAGTTGTTGTGTAATTTTCTTGGGGAAATGGGGAAAATAGATTTTTCAGCGAAGGCGATTTTTGTCGTAATTTTTGAAATACGTGATCGACAACTCTCCGGGTGTTCGTGAGAACATTCTGACGGTTGAGGTGTCTAGAGTATGATATATTTCATATTCACGTTGAAAATAAAAGAATGCTGTAAAATCACGATGGATTATTCAAGATAATCGATTGTTTTTCAACCTGCGCTTTAAGCTGCTTTCAATTCCATGAGATTTATCGACGAAGTATTTGAAAAATATTTTACACGGCCTCTTGGCAGTTTCTTTTGTGTTGACAATGTGTAAATATTATTGAAGAGGTAGTGTGGGCATTTAAAAATTTTCCCACGATAACATTTGCCCCAGAGTAATCCTCAATTTTTAATTAATTTTGTTACTAGCTCCCATATCGTTGTTGACATTGATTAGAAATGAGATATATGAATTATTAGTTGATTAGACGTTCTACCATTCGTACGTTACCTAGCCCATGATGATGTGATTTTTTTCATTCAATTCGGTGAATAAATTATTCATTAAAAAAAAAATTATTCATTGCCCATTGGTTTTTCGAGTCACCGCGAAATGAAAATAAAAAAATAAATACCCAGACTTCGATGCAACTCACAGCACTGAATTATAGTATTCGCGACATGAGGCGCACGGTACATATTGTTAAAAAAAGAATAAGAGAATAATTATTCTCATGCAACACCGTGGGATTTATTGATGGCTTCGAGATAGGTAATCTTGTATATATTAAAAAATCACAAATATACTAATGAAAAATGAGTCACCAAGTAAATATGAAAGAGCATTTTAGATTTAAGAACTGATTAATTGAGAATATTAAAAATGAGGCACGCTTTTTTATTTAATCCGAATGTTCTGGCTGAATTTTGACTGTAAGAACATTCTCGTGGGTGGTCTGACATTGACGAGATTCATCAAGATTTTATTCTCGATTATTCTCGATTATTCTCGATTATTCTCGATTATTCTCGATGTCGGGATTCATCTTGATCAGTCTCTCAATGACACCTGATTAATTTAATTCAACTCTAGTCATGATTAAACGTAAAATAAAGGGTAATAAACTTGGTATCTAATTAATAAAGTGGAAATATTACCAACTGGACTGTGTTGATGAAATAATTCTTCACCACGGAATAACGACAGACGAAAATAATTGATTGTGGATGAAAAAATTAATACAAATGTGTTATCAATTTTCTTGCTTGCTGACTGTTGTAGTGATTGATAGTTTTATTTTGTTAAACGGTATGAAAAATAGTATTGCATACATTAAAACAACAAACACTTGTCATAAGTATTGAATATTCATGGTAACTGGTGGATAATGATTAATGAAATTGATGTTTTTGGAAAATATCTGGATTTACTCTTGAGGAAAAATAATTGAGGAAAATGTATTTGAAAATTGAAATGAAATACCAATATTATAGGACTAACTTCTATGGGTGAAAATAGTTTCTATATATGCAAGGAATATATATATATAAATATGAATAAATTTAATATTTACCGTGATGTCGCGAAAGAGAGTGAAATATTTAATGAAAATTTTAACAAGGCGTTGACAGTACGACAATTATTCGATCTGAATAATGGCGTTGAACATCTGTGAGTGCTAAAATTTTGGGTGAAAATATGAAAAGTATTGAGTATGTTAATCCATGTATTTGTTTTTCATTAATTGTGAAGCCCGGTAATGATGAAGTCATTATTTCCGTTTAAACTCGAATCACTTACTCCAGGCATGGTAAAGTTTAAAAGTTTCACCGAAATATTAAAAAGGAAAAACAAACTACAAGTAACAATTTTAATGCTGATGAAAAAAAAACTAAACGTGCATTTATTATTCTTATGATTATTACTATTATTACATGAATTACGAGATAGTAACTGGTGTAAGAGCAATCATGTAATAAATCGATCAATAAAAAGCTTACGTGCTTAAAATTATTCTATTTACTCGAGAGTTGAGTGGTAGTCTGCGGAAATTTTTATCTTCAGCGCCTTGAGGGGAATTGATAAAAAAATGGATAACTGTCCATTTAATTCACAGCGAGGAAAATTGCGAGGAAAATTGCGAGGAAAATTGCGAGGGAAATGGCATTTTTAAAAACGATCCAGTTTTCCTTGAGAATTCTGTGAAAATCCAGATATTTCTGTTTTTCGTGGATTCTCAGGGAAAAGTGGAACTGAAATTCGTATGATAATAATAATTATTAATAATTCGTATTTAATATTATGTAATAATAATTATTCAATTCCACAAATTGTGGAAAATCCCAGAAAATGGGGAAAAATTGTTTACCAAAAACGGAAAATTCTCTCACATTTCCATTTTCTCGTCACATTTATCATTTATTTTTGTATTATCCTCTGACATTTGTGGGGGATTTCCTCGTGTTTTTTGAGAATAAAAATTCTCCGAATCTACTGATTTTTCGTCTCGATGAGGCGAATTTTCCTGTCTCGATCGACCACAGCATTTTCCAACCGCAATTTTGTGTGGAGAAGTTCTTTCACCATATCAGTGAGCTTGAGATACTCCTTTTCCTGGATTTTCATCTGATCCCCCAAAAGTCTGAATGCATTAGCGGTTCGAAGGGTGAATTTATCCAACCGTTCAGTCTTCTCTGCAAGCTAGCAACAATTTATTATTTATTCCCGATAAATAAAAGGAGATGTAGAGTCACCTGAGACCTGATTTTCTCCTTTTCCTCCAGCTGTTGATTATAAAAAATCTCATAACGATTGATCAACGCCTCATTTTCAGCTCTCGCCTCAGCCAAATCGATCTCCAATCCGTCTTTGGCTTGAAGACATCTAAATTATTTTTTATTAATAATTCATATAATTGTTTTCTCTTTCTTCAATAGTCATCTCACTCCGCTAATTTCGTCACGAGCCTGCCGATGCTTCTCCTATCAGCTGGACAGAGATCCTGAATGCGCGCAGCTAATCCTGAATTTTCATCGCCCCTGGAAAAGCCACTGTTTTCCTCCCCCGATTTTAATCCCTCGAATTCTGAAATATCTACCTCTACGTCAAGAAATCTCTCTGGATAATTTATTTATTACTGTCAACCCTCGCCATTTTCTGGTATATCTCCTCTCTCTGCAGGTGTAGAGTCTTCTTCAGTCTCGCCAGTCTAAAATCATTCTCCGTTTAATTATTCAGGAATTTATTCAAGAAAATTCTAACTTTTTACTGAATTCTATAAAATCCTCGTGGAATGGAGATTTATTCATGATTTTTCGTCACCAATCGGTGGATATTCTTTTGTCTTCCCCTTTTCTCTTTTTTCTTCTACTGAACTCCTGGAATTTTGAGAAATTGTTGTTATAATTAAGGAAAATTGAGGGAAATTGACGGAAATTACGGAATTCATGGGAATTTTTCAAGAGAAAGACTTTTATTTTTTATTGACGTCGAAATAGTGGAAGTGTTAACGATTTCTGGGGAATTGCGGAAAGTATTGTCGCGTTTTCATTGATAACAAGTTAATTTTCTGTAATTGATGCCGGTAACATTGTCCCACTGGTCTTGACTGGTTGCATAAATGGGATAGGCGGACGTTTTCATTCATTGTCAAGGGGGCTTTCCTATTGGTAACTTCACGCTCACTATCTACTGCTGAAAATGGCTCAGAAAATTTTCTTCGCTATCCTGATCGCTGGGGGAATCTTTCTGACGATTAATGGTGAGTTATCAGTTATTTAATGGTTATTAAATTATTTTTTGCAATCGTATCGGTTTTTTATTTCAGAATTATTACACAAGAGGAACTATTTGTTGTAAGATTATTTGGAAATCCATTTGGAATGACCTTTAGTCGTTTTTTTTTCATGGTGTTGAGTCCAGAAAATTTTTGTTTCAATTTTTTAACAATTGTAATTGTTATTATTATTAGTTTTGACGGTAATTTTGGGGAAATTCTGGGAATATCTGGAGATTTTCGAGAATTATTTTATGTTCAATGAAAAATTTTGGGTTTTCAGTTTGAAATCTGAAAATTTTTAATTGTTTAATTTTTAAAATTAATTAATGTGTAATTCATAATGTATTTGGAATTAATTCATGAGTTTTCAATGATTAATCCTCAGGAAATCCCGGGAATTTTGAATTCCGGGAATTAAAATAATCCGACGATTTGAAAAATAAATCTGAAATTTCAATTTCGTGAGGAGAAAAATCTAAAAGAAAAATCGGATAGTTTGATTTCTGGGTTGTTTTAAATATTAAATAAACATTTGAATTTTCGGCAGCCCAATCAGACAATGGCACATCGACATCAGGAAGTAGTGGAAGTTCCACCGGCAGCACTTCCGGTCTGGATTCAGCGTTGAGTAAAATCCCTCTCGCCGGATCCCTCACGGTCGCCATTTTGTCGCTAGTAAAAGGAATTTTGCGGTTCGTGGCTGGAATCCTATAAACAATTCCCCTCTCCATTGAATATCATTCTGCCCCCAAAAGATCTAATTACCGTTCATTACAACAAATAATGAAGATAAATAAACATTCACGAATTTACGATCGATTTTTAATTTTATTTCTTCTCCCCATCCAAAATCAATTCCCATTTCCACGTCCCAATTCCGCAATCAATTAATCCATCGCATTACGTCAATTGCGCCCATCAATTATCCCTCGTTAATTAATTAATTAATCAACTGTAATTTTTTTTTAATTCCGAAATTTCCAGTCGATTTTTTTTGAGAATTTTTATTTCAACCCCGGAATTGTAATTACTTCTAGGTGTAATTACTCCTGGGCAATGCCGGGATGGCAAACAATTTTTCTGATAACTCATATCTAATTGCGTATGTGGACTTGTTTTTTTTTTTTTTTTTGTTAACCGGTGTCTTATCACCGATGGACTAGCATAAATTAATGGCCAGTTGGTCATAGATCCTCACTCCGAATTTCGCGATACTTCTGACAACATCTATTATCATTTCGAAATGGCTGAAGTCAAGGCTCTTATCGTCCTCGGGATTTTCATCGGGTGCTTTTATTTGATCGAAGTCAGCGGTGAGTATTCCAGGATTCAAGAATTATCGGATTAAATTTTCATTTTCTTCGAAGAATTTTCTATTTTTCCGATTCTTCAGCTCAGAATAATGGAGGAACCGGTGGAAATGGAGGAAATACTGGGAGCAATGGCGGATTTATATCCTCGATTTTAGGACGATTTCCCGTTATCGGGGGAATAATCGCTTTTCCCCTCAGGACTGCATCAACAGTTCTTCGAGGTGTCGCCGGATTCCTGTAATTACACCTTGTAAATAAATTCCTCAAATACATTTACTATCCACTAATAAATATATTACCCAAGTCTTACGAAAGTATTTGCTCGTGGTAAGTAAATATATTTGGCGAGAGAAATTTATTTTTCCATGTGCAGAAAACAAAAAATTCAGTTACATTTTAATTTACCGTTGTTTTTTTAAAATTGAAATTAAACTAAATTTTTTAAAATTAAATTAAATGAATAAAAAAATTAAATTAAAGTAATTAAAATTTTTCTGTTAATGATCCGAATGATTAATGGGTTTTGTTGTATGGACTTATGTTAAAATTATGAATAAAAATCGGTAATTATACGATTGTTTTTACTGTTGCAAAATACTTTTCGTTTTAATGCATTTCCTCGGTTTTCACTTCGCATTGTTCGTGTTTCCGTGATAAGAACGCAGGTAATGAGACTTTTACGACCTTCGAAGTAAACGTCGAGAATTCGAGAATAATTAGTGGTGATAAGACCGTTATCTAGGATATTTGCGACTTTTCCTTGAATTTCCGTAGGGAATTGAGTAATTTATCAGTGAAATAAGAAATTGAATTTTACGGCTGTCACAAACATCGATTTATCCTCCAAACCATTGATTTTATGAGAAAATATAAAAAGACCTTTTCTCTCGGATATTTAATCAGCTAGAAAAAAGTCTTCTAACACTTTTACCTTGGGCCAATAGTTCTCGGGATAAATCGGAAACGAATTGGAGAAAATTCTGTTGCGAAGTGATAAACTACCATAAGTGCATTTTTTTCTCGTTCAGATTTTTAGCCAATATCTCGAAATTGAAGAAAGATATCGATATTTCCATAACCACCTTTTTTATAGCTCTAATCTTTACCAATAAAAAATGTGAATACAAAAAATCTGCTATCTCCCTTCAATTCCTAGATATCGGCTGAAAACTGACCGAGTAAAAAACGCACTTGTGAATTTGCACTTTGTAATGAGCGAAATAATTTAGATTGACTTTGGATAATTGCGTTTTAAAGATAAAATTGACAGATGCAGAGGGACAAGAACCTATCAACCTGGACAGTGTGTAGATGTAATACAATCCATCTGCACAGAGGGTTTTCGACGGTTGGAAATAAAACGGCACGCTCTGCTTCTGCAGCTGTCGAGGGGGTGAGATTTCCTAGGGTGTAGAGGGGGTACAGCGGGCACACGTCTCACCCCCGTTGGAAACACAATTACTTTACCAACGGTTCCACCAGGTTCAACCTTCAACTTCCACCAAAGAATCACCTCTAAAAAATCCTTTATTCCGCTTTTCAATACTATTTTAATTTATTATTTACACAGTTTTTTATTATAATAATAGAACAAGTGAAAAATTGTGAAAAAGTGAAAAAAAGTGATAGTTTTACCGGTGGAAAAAATGAAGCGATCAAATTCTGTGAGTTTTTTCATTTTCTGGAATTCCGAAATTTTCTGGAATTCCGAAATTTTCTGGAATTTTTTAAAATTAATTGTTTACTATTAATTATTCATTATTAATCATTGTTGATGAATTCGTTTCAGGCGCCTTGTCTTTTCGAAGAGGAAGCCCAGACGAAGAAGATTAAAACGTCAGACGAGCAAGTGGTAATGATTTTAAAAATTTTACATTCGATTTCCAGAGGGACTCGATAGTCCAGAATAAATCAATGAATATTTTTTCTCTGAGTGGCAAGTGAATTTTTTCCGATTCACCATCAAATTTTCCAGTAGTAAAAAATCATTATTTACCACATATTTTGTTTATGAATTTTTTTATTGCAATTGCAGGGGCCGAATACGAGAGAGTACTTGCAATTAGCTTTAGCGAGAGTATTAGAACTGCAAAGAGCTGTGAATGACAATACATATTTCGCTGGTAATTCCAGTGAAACTGGTATGCAATTAAAAATTTAGAAATTAAATTTTATTCAATATGATAATTATTATTAGTATAATTGATATAAAATTCCCAGGAGATTCTGATACCGACGAGGGTGTGATGCGTGACGTCCTGACGAGGGTCTTCAAGGACCTCCCAGGCTCTTCCTCATCAGTTCCATCAATAATCGAACGTGCGACTCGTCGTGACCCCCCAGAATTGACTAAAAATCGTGAAAAGAGTATCCAACTCTCCGGTTACGACACCTGCCGCAAAATCGCCCTGGACTTCATGAAGACATCAGTTAAATCCCTCCCCCAGATCGAAAAAACTGTCAGAAGAATCGACAGAACTCGTGAGAGAGATTCCCTCACCAGCGACTACGAAATTCGTTCGCGAATGCTTCGAGGTCTCGATCTCCATCTCGCAATTAAACAACGGGATTACACATACAAATTAATGAAACTGTAATTCCAGATTCAAACATTCCAATCATCCTAGTCACACCGCAATTTAAAAAATATTTCTAGTCACAAAATATTTACATCTAGTCGACAAAATGAGAGATAAAAATATTTTCAAATGAATATTAAATTAAACATTCAAAGGAGAGAAAAATTTACTCTCGATTCATGTAAAAAAATTATTTATTATACCTCATATATATGACAATAAAAAAAACATCGCATTATGCAATTACTCTCTATGACTTAATCATAAGGTCTCACCAACTAATCTCTAAATATTCTGATCACCTCGGGCTAGTTAATAATTTTCTGTTCTTATCGTCTAGGATCTCCGCGTAAAATAAAAATACTTGAAACATCTGATTTACGATTGAATCGAAAGAATTAAAATCTGGAAAAATCCCTCGCAATGAGTGGCATGAAACGCTGAACCGAAATGTGAGACTACAGGTACATTATTTATCCCTTATATCCGTATTTTCAAAGACACATTGACAGAGTCTAATTGTTTTATGCAGAACAACGACACAATTAGTTGTCCCTCGATTTTAAAAAGCTTTACCCCCTAATTACGACGATATTATGCTGTTTATGCGGTCGAACGAGAGCCCTAAAGACTCCCCCTAAAATATATATTAACCATAAATTCATTCAACGAATCAACATGTGAATTAATTAATCAATTGTGCTGTGTAAAAAATTGCAATTTCTGATTCAATGATTCAGCTTTGAATTTCCCTTAAAATCTCAAATCATCGTCAAAAAAAAAAACGTATAAAATGCAGAATAATCATCACTCATTCCCCCACATTCACAGTCTATTCTACTCAGTCATGCCAATAAACTTTATATTCATTCACTGATTTTTAGGTTTCAGCTGCATTTAGTGACATTTAGGCACGAATAATAAAAGATTAAATGAACGAATCATAAGTACCTTAAATACCTTAAAAGCTATTGAAAAGAAATTATTGAGGGATCAGGGTGTGTTATCAGCATTAAAAACCGACCAATCAAATGATTTTCTTCAAATTCTTGATGATTTTGCTCGATGAAACCGAAGATGAAGAGGATGACGTGGATGGTGACGTCTCCTCCTCGTTGAATATCCCTCAGTGTTGTTGAACAAGCGTTGGACCACTGCCAGGATTTCTCCATGGATCAGGTATATCGTAGTGAGCTGGTACAGTGATCAGTGCATCATCAGCAGTGCGATTTGCACTGCAGTTCTTTGGTTTAGTGCGCGTTGTGTTGACACACTCAATGGGCAATTTAATGAACTCGAGGCGATATTCAAAGCCATAACTGCTGATACGAAGGATCGTGTGGAGGGGTACCTCCATGTAGGGCAGCTCCTCGGGTTTTTTATCGAGGAAAAAGCCAATGAGACAACGTAGCACTGCCTGGTGAGATATCACGAGGACGTTATTCGATTGCTGCAGCTCTGCTAGGACTGGATCGACTCGTTGCATTATGTCCACGTAACTCTCACCCCAGGGGTAACGATAACGCAATTTATCCTGATCTCTCCATGCGAACTCCTGGATAAATATCAAACAACACGTTTTATTGCAACAAATTACTGTTTCCTCCGCTCGTCAATAACGAGTTTCCATTGAGGAATTGTTTCATGAACGTCAATTATCATTTGATAGTCATTCACATGACACGTGTTGTTCAATCGAGAATAACACATCCCTCATTTTTTTTTATCAGTACCAGAGGTCAAGTCATGCTCTAGATATTTTTTGTTTGTGTTACAGTTCATGTGAATTACACTACGTCTTTTCGTGGGGAGGAAAGTTTCAGTGATTGGCAAGTAAAAAAAATGTTTTCTTGGGAGCTTGACTGATTATTGAGGAAAACTCACTTGTGGGTAGTTCTCCTGCATCTCTTCGTAGGACAGACCCTCGCAGACACCTGCATCGAGCTCGTTGAGAGCTGCCACGTGTTCCTGAGGTGCCTCGATACTTCTGGCTGTTGCAATAGTGCGTCGCAGACGACTGGTCAATACTCGAAGGTCTGGTATGTGCATTGAATTTATTCGGGAGGCAAGGGCCTGGGCATAACGTTCACCACGTGCACTCAGTACGGCGTCTCCTCCAATTTTACCAAGAACATTGTACTCGCTTTCCCCATGCTGAAATAAATAAACAATTTAGTCCCCAAAACTGCAACAAATTAAAAAACCAAATCCCAAGTCAACACTTTCATAATCACAATTTATCCCGAGAACTATCGATTCGAGGTCAAAACCTCCGAGGACTTTTTTCTAGGTAATTAAATTTCCAAAGATAAAGGTCTTTTCATATTTGTTCCTAAAATCAATAGTTTTCCCAAATTCCTGGATATTTCACTTATTACGTGAAAAACGAAATTGTAAAATAATGGGAAAAAGCGATTTCAGTCAAGTTATTAATCAGGGAAATTTTATAATAATAATTAATAAAAAAATATCTCACCCGAGAGAAATAGAGTGTGTGCGGTTGAGCGGTGATACTGCCAAGATATCCAAGTACACTAGACTCAACATGACCCGAGACCTTGTGAGCACGAATGTCCATGGTAACAGTATCAATAGTGATTCTGGGATAGTTCTTCTCATCCATGGGCTCATAAGCCATCACGTAGTGGTCAACCTTGAGCTTGAGATCCTCAGCAGCAGCCACTGGATCCATTCCAGCATAATCAACACTGTAACGTATTACCTCGGCGTAATTACGCTCCAGGGCATCATCATCGCTGCAGGTGCACTCGATGAAGAGGACACGGTAGCCCAGCTGATTATTGAAGTAATCAAATACCTCGGCTCGCTGATCCTTCCTCACCAGGCAACCGTCCAGAATCTGTTTGACAAATAAAAATATGGCAATCAGATTATCTTCATGAATTTTCTTTTTATTTACCCAGGGATTACTTACTGCTACGGTATTTCCTGATGCCAACCATCCGGCGCAGTCGTGCATTGCGTCTCGGGTTGCCAATGACCTCAGGGCTGAGTTGGCTGCATGATCTGGTCGGAAAAGCTCGTGTGTACCGTAAAGCTCGAGCTTCTTACGGCGATAATCACTGACACGCATCACTGATTTAAAAAAAAATGAAAAATTAACAAGTGATTTTGAGAGAAAAAATCATTAACAAATTTTGAGGGCGTTGAACAGAATTTGTTTAAGGATTTTTATTTAATTTATAAATTATTTTACAAGAGTGGAGTGAGAAGAATAGGATTTATGGAATTTCGAGAGTTCTTGGACTTCTCTCCCTCGAGCAATTGGCATTGAGATTTTCATGACTCATGGATTTTATTATTTATCGGGTTTTCAGGAAACTATTTATTCATCTCATGGACTTTTACTTTGCTCTGGCTTTTGCTTTCTAATCTGTCTCTCCTTTCATTTTTCGCTTACGACTCGTCATTTGCGAGTGTTTTGCATTTATAAATTGCGAATTCAGCGGGTTTCAATGATTAAAAAAAAATGGCGAGTCCATGACTTACGCAAGTCGATAATACGATCCACGTTGAGGCCACCGAGTGCCAATTATTCATTTGACGCAATTAGTCGTCTTAGATTTAATCATTATACCATTCAAATAAACAATATCGAAGATATTTGGCACTCGATTGAGAGTGGAAAATCTAACAAGTGATTACGACGTACATCAACGTAAATATCAGCGCGTATTCATTATTTCCAGATTATTAAATTTACAATTGATTTATAATTGTTTTTAATTGAAAAAAAAAATCCGGAAAAAAATGAATAATCAGTAAAAAATTCATAAAATTGTTTCAAAAACCAGAGATTAAACAATATTAATATTGTTTAACAATTGGAATGGTTTTTCACCTTTTGCGGATTCGCCGTTCCAATTCAGGCGCCGGGCCAGACTCTGGGCGACGTGGGATTTTCCACGGGCCGGAAGTCCGGATGTCGCTATCACAACTCCAGAGAATTTCCTCGGGGATTTAGTGGTCCCCGATTTTCTCACTCCTGAATCACCCCCAGCCTCTGAAACACCAAAAGAATTTCGTTAAAATCATAAACAAAACAATTAGCACAAACGAATCTCTCGTAGCGATTAAAATTCCCACGTCAGTGATAATAAACGACTGAAAATCCATCGCAAACATGTCAGTGGACACTAATGACTCGTGCAAATATTATTTAATGAGTTAAACGAGTCTGAAGGTCGTTGCAAATTAATGGAATGACGAATTCGTTGTTAAATAATTAAGGAAAAGACAATACCAATGATGCACATGATTTCTGAGTAATTAATTTATTGATTGAATGATTTTCCTCCAGAGATAGTACGTCTTGCTGCCGGAAATGTTTGCGATTCACTGAGAGACACTCATGAAAATGTCGCAATTGTGATTTTTCTATTTTCAGAAATTGTTAATGCACTTTGTACTCGAATTTTGGCTGAGTCTTCCTGCATTACTCATGCACTAGTTCGAATTTTCCATTTTTAAATGCAGAAAAATATTCTGGGAATTATATTTTCCCTGTGGAAAAAATTATTTTCCGATATTTCTATTTTCAGAAATTATTAATGCACTTTGTACTCGAATTTTGGCTGAGTTTTCCTTCATTACTCATGCACTAGTTCGAATTTTCCATTTTTAAATGCAGAAAAATATTCTGGGAATTATATTTTCCCGGTGGAAAAAATTATTTTCCGATATTTCCGGGTATTTGAATTCGTATTGTCTGACCTTTCCGTTCGTGAGAGTTAATAAATGAAGAACAATACGAGTCAGCGGAAAAAACAACGATGAAAATGAAGAATCGAGTGTTATTATACGTAAACGGATGTCTCCAAGGCATAATTACTCGGTAAAACTTCCGGAATAGCAAGTGTCTTTTAATTTTATTTTTGCGCTAAATTAATTGATATCGCGCATGCGGAATTGAACACCTTGCGACCCTTTCCGAGACTAATGTCAATTTATTCCCTCAATCATCCAATGAATTATTAAAAACCCATGGGTTTTAAATAGATGTGACGTAGGTTGATAAATTGATCATCGCATGATGAGGAAAGTGAGTAAATTTCATTGACCGCCACTTTTTGAACTGTGGAAATTCTTGGGAATTAATATTCGCTGAATCGCGTGATCTATTTAAATTCCTGGATCATCAGACGACTGCGTGATCAGCGATGCCAGAGATGATTTTTGAAAGATCATTTTTGAGGGATCATTTTTCGATTTTTGAGGAAGCGTTTTAATGTTTTTTTTTAGTAGAATTAAAATAGTTTTTTGATAGAGTTAATTGAGATTGATAATTGATTTTAAAAACACGGAGAAATTTCCAATCGACTCGTCAGCTCTTGATGCGAGAAAATCCGGAAAATCGAGGTCATTAATACCCTGACACAATTCAATGATAAGCCCTGGCTTTATCTGTCTCTATGGGCGGTAATCGATACGTCAGTTGGAGGTCTTCATAAAAAATAATCGAAGCACTTCTCTAGAATTGAAAAATTCACTTTTGTGTCAATATTTTGCCGTGGAAATGAATCATGTCGTCATATCAGGAGAAATAAAGTCTATCTTTATCATCTCGATATTCTCGATATCTGGTTTCTCAGACTAGTATTTTTCGATCTAAAATCGATTTTTTACTCGATATTAATCGATTTTCAAGGATCGATATTTTTTAACGAATTTTGTATTACGAGTTGCGGAAAAAGAGATTTTTTTTTTTAATTGATTTTCCGAATGTATCGATCTTAACCGTCGATATTTTTCGTGGTCTTTAAATCGATTTTCGCGGTTCGATTTTTTTCCCAAATTTGAAATTTCGGTGGGGAAAAATCGGAAGAAAAATCGAAAAAGATCGATTCTCCGCGAATCGATATACGGAAGATCGATAATTTTTTACTGATCGGAAAGTTGAGTTGAGGAAAACCGAGTTTCTAGCGAAAATCAAATCGAAAAATTATTCTCGCTCAATCAGAAGTGCTTCATGCATTTTCCGGAGCGATAGATATCGTCTGGAGTAATCGATTTATGCACCAAGTAGATGACGTCAGTCCGACACGTTTTCGTTTTCCTCTGGTGATTGAAAGCTTGTTATCAGGTGGATACACGTGTGGGACAGGCCAATTGAATATTGGCATTCGAGTATTGAAGCGATCGAGTCCCAATATCGAACAATTCTCACTGTCAATAATTGGATTCAATCAGAACGAATGAATAAAAGACATGAATTCCTCTCGAGTTGTCAGAGGTTCATGAACCATAGGGCAATCTACGAGGACAAAGTCCAGTGATTTATCAATAATATTACCTAATTTATTGATAACAAAAAAGCACTCCGTAATTCATGACGAACCCAATTGACGACTGTTGCTAATTATTTATTTATATCAAAAACTATTCGCTTGACGGAGAAGACGTTCAGGACTTTTTTGCAGCTGATTGAATTCCGGAGAAAAAAGACCTTTTCATGTTTTCCCGTAAAATCGATGGTTTTTCAATTATTCAATCAGACATGAGTCTATCTTTATTGGCTCAAGGACGTTTTTTCGCGTATCTGTTGACGATATTTTTACGCGCCTCGAAATTCCCGAAAAATTCTCGTCTCGGATTGGCTGGGTCTTGGGGGGCCTGACTCTACCATTAAATTCCGGATTAAACCGGTTTTTTGGGAAATAAAGAAAAAAAAGGGGAATGAAGAGAGAGTTTTTATTGAACAGGTGTTCTCGAGGTCTTACACTATTTTGGATATCTCTATCGCTCGCAGCTGACAGCAAGTACGTATTCAAGTGAAAAATAATAGAGTCGAGTGAATAATTATTCCCTGATCTTGGAAAAACAATTCCAAACTTAGAATTTATTACAATGAATTTCGATTAACAGACGGTTGGGCGACGGTACGATAAGCTATCGTGAAAAGTCTAGACTCATTACTATACTGGACGTTTATTGGCTGCCCAGGGGGGTCTGTACTTTCATTTATGGTAACGTAATGAGATATCTCTCGACTATTGTACTCTTGAAAGAGAATTCAATGTTGTTGACGCTTGGGGCACGACTCTCAGATAAGAATAATGAATTTCAACGAGATACCAGTCATAAATATTTATATTACCTCATTCATGATAATGAGGATAATTATTCATCAATAATGCAATATTTTAATGAATATTAACAAAGATCGAGTGGCAATGCGACTGAAAGCCCCATTAACAACTAGCAATAATGGAATATCAATTACTCCCTCAAGTATCGATTTATCTCGAGAACTATCGACACCACGAGAAAACATCAAAAGACATTTTTTATCGGGAATTCAATGATCTAGAAAAAAGTCTTATGGCACATCCCCGTGAGATCGACAGTTCTCGAGATATATCGATGATGATTACGAAAATCGATTTATTGTCACTTACCTCGTTTTTCCTCAGCGCAAGGTGCCATTTTCTTGTCAGAATCAGTCACTTCTTCCTGAATAATTCCAGCCTGAAGTGCCAATCTTCTTATAACAATGCAATACCCAATAATGGGCCCAACAAGAAGATCAAGGCAGGCTGCAACCCAGGGCATCACCTCGTCGGCGTCAAGCCCAGTAAAAAATTTATTCTCACGATCCGTTTTTACTGAATCTCCGTCAAATAAACGATTACAACACTGAATTTATAATCTATCACAGTTAACCGCAGCTCAATTGACCGAATTACGTCTCCATAAATTGAATGATGAAATAAAAATTCAACGAAAAATGAAAAACAAACGAAATAATCCACCTCTCTTAAAATTTATCGGCTAAAGCTCTTCAGAAAAATGATCGCTGCTAGTGTGTCGAATTATGGACAAGAGATCCTCCCTCATTCCAATTTGTTTAATCCTCACCTCCGGAGCCAGTTTGCGTGATTGATAATAATTCAATGTGAAATTACCAGTTGTTCACTGATTAGTTAACCCGTAAGAAAAAACCTGTTTAACTTCCGGATTGATTTCTGTGACCTTTCTCTACATGTCAATCGATTTACCGTCCCCTGGAATTATTATTGAGACCCTTTTCACACCAATCCTTCACCCCTTCGCACTTCCAGACAATTCCTCTGCCTCCTGGGGATTTCGTTTGAATTCTGCTGTTTTTCTTCGATTTTTCAGCGCTTGAGACGCCCCCTGCACCCGTGAATACTTTTTTTTTTCTTGCAAATTATTTTGATGGAATTTTTCTTGGAGTGTACAGTTGGCGGGTTTTTACGCGTGTTTATCGGAACTTTGTTGTTATGTGCGGTGGGAGGTAGTATTTTTAAATTTTTATTTAGTACTTGGTTGGTAGGAACCTCTTGACAGAAGCTCTTGCGTCGAACTGAACTCTCGCCTCGCCCTGTATTACTTTTAGTATCGACCCAATGGTTCTGTCTCTCTTTCACTCCCCCACTCTTTACTCCCTGTTTATCCATATGTTTCAGATTTGTCAGGGGCCAATTGTTGGGTCTTCTCCGGGGACAGATGCTGAGAGCCCATGATTTTTTTGGAGTGGCTCTTGTGTTCTAGAAGCTGAAGACACCAAAATGGTGGAGGTGGATAAGGTGAATTGAAAAATCCCGGTAATTACCGATTTATCGAGAGAACTGTCAAGTCTATCGGGAAGTGGTTAGGGACTTTTTTGTAGCTTATGGAATTCCGGAAAAAAAAGGTCTTTTTGGAATTTTATCTAGAATCAGTGGTTTTCGAGATATATGTCAGGTTTTGGTGGTGTCATGGAGAAGCTTAATTGGTGAACTTCGAGAAGGTGCATTAAAAAATTTTGGTAAACATTGATTTATCGAGAGAACTATCGATCTTATGGGGAAGTGGTAGGGGAGTTTTTTGTAGCTTATTGAATTCCGGAGGAAAAAAGTCTTTTCGTATTTTTAACTAGAATCAGTTGTTTTCGAGATACATGTTGTGTACTGGCGGCGGGATGTAGAAAAATCTATGATTCCTCGTTTTATCATTTCGTTCAGTTTGTGATTTTTCTCTTGATATTTTTAGGATCTTGACATCTGCTTTTATCTTCCTCTGGATTTCATCATCCTCCGTCGGCTGAAACGGAGAAATAATGATGATGTGGATTTTTATTATATTTATTTCGCTCTCACATGAATTTACGAATTCCCACTGCATGACGTCGGGTGTTTTTGTTATTGAATGAAAATTTGTGCTGACGTTCAGAAAATGACATCCTACCAGGTACTTTGACCTCAGAATTATCCGGAGGCGTTTATGACCCCGATTTTCACTGTTCTCAACCTACGCATCCCGAGACAAATTGATAACTTGAAATCCAACATTTAATTTTTGACTGGTCTTTCCTTTTACTAGAAATTATTCAATGATCTTTTAAAAATCGTAAAGATTCCAAGAGTTATCCCCACGTGGAACACTTCGAGAATAAAATGATAATAATATCAGAAGGAAAAGTGAAAATAGAGTTGGATAACCGTCAAGTGTTAGACTTGACATTTTAGTCGGAGCAACTAGTTAATTCCAAAGTCCACGGTCTGTCTATTATTGCACTCGCGTTACATGAGAGTTTTTCCAACTCCAACTATTTATCCACTGCCCTCGTGTTTTCCTGATAATTATCACCTGTGGAAAAAAGAAAACACTAGAAAATGCTGCGCATTGGTAAACAAATTTTTTCTTCTGGTGCATTCGTGAATTTATTATTCATGAATAATAAATCTCGCATTTCAAGAGATTGAGTAATGGAATAATCGATTTATTTTGCTCTCCTCTTGACACTCGTGGGGATTGGCTTGATTAAACTGAAGGCCAATTCTCTTATCAGTCTCTTGTAATCTCGCGAATTTGTCCGATAAACTCTTATCGTGGGGATATTCGTGTTTCTTCGCGTGGAGAATAAAATAAAATTGATAAAGACCTTTAGAAATATCCGCTATCTTGGATATCTTGAGTGATAACAGAATAATCACGATATCAGTCGCACGTATCAGTCTAGACCGTCTAGTCTATAGAATACTGTTGCATCAATATTTTGTTTTTGTATATCAATTGTTGTCAATGAAGAAAATCTTGTTGCTAATGGATTTCTTACTGACCACCACACGACAATTTGTTCTCGACTCTTATTAATAATTTTATAATTCTCTAACAACCCCGGGGGTTCATCCCACCCCCAGGGGATCGATCCAGAATTTTTAGGGGACGAACATGAATTTTTTTTTCACTTCAATTATCAATTTATCAACAAATGATAGATTTTATGTGTTTTTTAATTCTATAAATGATAAATTTTACATTATACATTTAAAATACATAATATATTTTATAACTTTTATATATATTCTTAGAAAATTTTTTTTTTTAATTTTACTCTTCTAAACGAAATTTTTCCGGGAAAATTCCGTCGATCGGACATGATGCATGTATATAAAACTCTACATACCCATTCATGACTCATATCACACATATCAATTATCATCGAGCAGTAGCTGGATCAGTCCATCGCAAACTATCGTCCATAGCGTACCCCACAAACAGCGTCTCTAAAGTCTAAAAATGGAATTGGGTATTACGGAGTGGATCATCACGATCCTAGTCCTTCTCTCCCTAATCTACTACTACTTCGTGAAGAAATACAATACCTGGAAGTCCCTGGGGATATCAGGGCCCTCCCCAATCCTCTTCTTCGGCAACATGAAGGACCTGATGACAGGAAATGTCAGTTGGGCGAAATTCCTAGAGAATCTCTACAACGAGTACCCAAACGATCCAGTAATTGGAATTTACGCTCACCGTGAACCCGTCCTGATAATTCGCGACCTGGAGCTCATAAAATCAGTCCTCATAAAGGACTTCAGCAATTTCGTGGATCGAGGAACGAAAACCGATCCCCACGACGTTCTCTCGAATCATCTCTTCTCCCTGGAGCCAAAACGATGGCGTCCACTGAGGATGAAGTTGTCCCCAGTGTTCACCTCAGGAAAACTCCGGGACATGTTCTACCTGATGAACGAGTGTGCAAATCGCCTGGAGAAATACCTGGACGATATCACCGGTGAGTGCATCGACATGCGAGATATTGCAGGAAAATATGCAACAGATGTGATCGGTATCTGTGCATTTGGTGTTGAAGCGAATGCCCTGGAGAAGGAGAACAGCGTCTTCCGGAGGATGGGTTTGCGTTTGCTCCAGACGATAACGAGCTGGAAGACAATGATCAAGATGTACCTGTTGGAAATGGCTCCACCAGTCTACCATCTGATCGGTGGATTATTCAGGGATCAGGAGATGCAGAATTTCTTTGTTAATCTCACCCGGGACACGATAGAGTACAGGAAGAGGATGGGCATCACGAGACACGATTTTATCGATCTCCTGAGATCCCTCAGGGATGAGCCAAGCCAGATCGATGATGTAGAGCTGACAGATGGCCTCCTAGCAGCACAACTCTTCGTCTTCTTCTTCGCGGGATTCGAGACCTCTTCCTCGACCATCAGCAATTGCCTCCTGGAGCTCGCGATTAATCACGATATTCAGGACAAACTGCGGGAGGAAATAAAAAATGAAATAAACAACGGGGAAATCACGTACGCGGGAATCAAGAGGATGAAGTACCTGGACATGGTCGTCAAGGAAACCCTCAGGAAATATCCACCTCTGGTGATGCTCATGAGAAAATCAGCCGACGAATACACCTTTCCTGGGACTAACATCACCATTCCCTCGAAGACTGGAATTTTAATACCGATTTATGCGATTCAGAGGGACCCCAGGTATTTTCCTGACCCCGAGGTATTCAATCCTGATAATTTTAGTGAGGATAATGTCAAGACGAGAAACCCCATGACGTATCTATCCTTCGGTGATGGCCCCAGGAATTGCGTTGGTAATTACACACTCTTTAATTATTCTATATTAACACGAGGAGGGCACGTATTCGAGGAGAATTGTCCAGGGACTGACTGTAATCACAAAAGAAAAATTCTAACTCGAAAATTTGAGAGTAAAGCTTAAGATTTATGACATGAGAGGGGAGAGTCCTCTCCGTCCTTCGAATTTCAACGTAGTCGGCATTTTCTTCTAAAAAGTAAAAGAAAAACGATTGTAAACTAGTTCTTCTTCTGGAACTTATTTTCCCAGCGTGTCATAAATCTTTGTCCAGTAGTTTTTGTACTGCAATCAAGGGTCTCTTCGAATGACCCAACAATAATTCTTCCCCTGGGATCGTAGGTTATTTTTCGGCTTTTTCATTTCAGGCGCACGATTTGGAAGTATTCAGACCAAAGTAGGCATCGTCAAGCTTCTGCAGAGATTTGTTATCGATGTTTGTGACAAAACTGATAAGGAGTACACCCTGAATAATCGGGCTTTCATGTTGACACCGAAGAATGGAATTATTCTGAGAGTCTGTAAGTTATCGGATTGATTGGGCGATTAGATCGTAATTGTATGGCGTATTATTTCTCTCGGGAGTGAATAAATAATTTGTTTATATCTTGGGGTTTTCTGATTCACCTGTTAACGAAAAAATTGCTGCAATAATTCAAGGCCAATGGGACGTAATTGGAGAGTGACTAGTAAGTAGATAAAACTCGGTCTCTAGTTTTGACGTACAGTCGACACTTGAGTCTCGATGTGAGTACACCGTTGGATAAATCGAGTTGACGTAACGTAAATACGTCGAAACTGCGGTGCTTTTTATTGGTGCATCTTGTGTTAACATGTGAGCTGAATCTTTACCTCAATTTTTTTCATCATTTTTCATTTTTCATTTTTTCTCCATTTTCCGAACATTTGCATTTCATTTATGCACGGAATTTTTACACTACAAGAATACCGGAAATGCCTGTCTCGATTAGTCACTCGTGTTTTCGCGATACGATTGTTGATACAACGCAGTTGTACAAGTGTAAAGCGAGATAAATCGATTAATTTTTTAAATCACGAAATTCGATGTATTATTGTTTCAATTATTTTGTAATTATGATTTTTCACAAATTGTATTGAAAAATAGAATTGAATCGATTGAAAAAAAATCGAGAAATTCGATCTATCTCACTTTATGGAATCGTTGGTGACTGAATGATTAATTAATCAATTTTTTCCGTTACATAATTAGTGATGAATGTTTTTAATGCATCATACAATGTAGAGTCATCTTAGATTTATTGCAATGACACGGTAAAAATCGATCTATCAAGTTTGTAATTGTCTGTAATGAACTGGAAAAAAACTTCAACTGAAAAAGACAATTATGTGATGATCTGCGTAGAATTCCAGGAGTTGATTTAATTTTCAATGAAAAATGTCGACCCTGGATTACCTGGTGGCGATGCTAGCCCTGGTAGGGATCTTCTACTACTGGTCGATCTCTACATTTTCCTTCTGGAAGGATCGAGGAGTTCCAGGCCCCAAACCCCTGCCGCTCCTCGGAAATTTTAAGGACGTGCTGGCCGGCAAGATCTCCATCGGTCCCTGGCTCCTGAGTTTCTACACCGATTACCCGAAAGAGCCAATGGTAGGGATTTTCATTCGTCGTCGACCAATCCTAGTCCTCAGGGATCTCGATCTCATCAGGGACATCCTCATCCGTGACTTTTCCAAGTTCGCCGATCGCGGTCTCAAGACCTTCGAGAAAGCCGAGCCCCTGTCCCAGCATCTCCTCAACCTGGAGCACTCGAAATGGCGCCCCCTGAGGAATAAACTCTCCCCAGCATTTACCTCAGGCAAACTCAAGGACATGTTCTATCTCCTCCTGAGCTGCGGTAATCATCTCCAGGAGTACGTGGATAAATTGATAAGCAAAGGTGATTCCATCGAGGTCAGGGATCTCACTGCGAGATTTACAACTGATGTCATTGGTTCGTGTGCATTTGGCCTTGAAATGCACGCGATGGACGACGAGAACAGTGAGTTCAGGAGGATGGGAAAGTACGTTTTTAATTTTGACTGGAAGAAAGTCCTGAAGTTCAGGATCAGGGAGGGAGCCCCGTGGCTTTACAGCCTCCTCTGGCCAATAATGAGAGACAACTACCTCACGGATTTCTTCATGAATACCATGAAGGCGACTATCGAGCACCGGAGGAAAAACAAGATCGTCAGGCATGATTTTATCGATCAGATTATCGAGATTCAGGATCATCCTGAGAAAATACCAGAGGTCAAGCTGACTGATACACTCCTGACGTCCCAGTTATTCGTTTTTTTTCTCGCTGGCTTTGAAACATCATCGACGACAATCAGCAATGCTCTGTACGAGCTGGCCCAGCATCAGGACTGTCAGGACAGGCTCAGGGAGGAGATCAGGGTGGTGATGGAGAGGGAGGGAAAATTGACGTACGACGTCGTCAAGAATATGAAGTACTTGCATATGGTATTCCAGGGTGAGTCATTGCGATTTCACCTGGGGATTTCGTTGGGAGTTTAATGGGTTTTTTTTTCTTTTAGAAACTCTGAGGAAATATCCACCCGCGATGATCCTCGTGAGACGCTCTGTGGCACCTTACACCTTCTCTAATTCAAATGTGACTATTCCTGAGGATACACTGTTGATGATACCGTTGATGGGGATTCATAAGGATCCGGAGGTCTACGACGACCCAGAGAAATTCAACCCTGAGAGATTCTCGGAAGAGGCCTTCAAGTCTCGACATCCCATGAGTTTTTTGGCCTTTGGGGATGGACCACGGAATTGCATCGGTAGGAATTCAGGATCTCAGGATCAATATCCGATATTTAGATATTTTTTTAATGCAAATAATTGAACTTCCTGGATTTTCAGGCGAGCGCTTCGCCAAGCAACAGTCCAAGGTTGGTCTCATAAAAATCCTGGAGAAATTCAAGGTCGAGGTGAACGATAAGACCGAAATACCTTACAAGATCAACCCCAGGGGGTTCCTCCTGGCCCCCCTCAACGGGATTCACCTGAGATTTACGAAAATTTAGTTATTCATTCTTACAGACCTCAATAAAAATGTTAACAATGTTCCTGCAAGTGTTGAGTTATCATTAATTACCTCTCGACTTGATAAATCACTTTTCTTTTAATTAAAAAATACAACGGGCTATTTACAACAGGTGCTTTCCATTCAAGGAGTTTAGAGGGCTTCGGTGAGTTGAATCGAGAGATTGCATTCGAGATTGTGGGATTTTTTTACAGCTCGTCACCTCCGAACCACTTTGACTTCTTATCCCTCTTTTTATCTCCACACCAGCACGCATTTTTCTGGGCATCCAGATAACTTTTACAACCAAGAGCTGTTGTACCTGTGAACAACATCTTAGCAGCTCCTTTGCAGGTGTTTACTATTGTAACACCTGTTGTCTGATAGCTCTCGCAGTATTTGTATAAACAACGTTTCATCTCCAAATCACATTTTTCCTTGTCATTGTTGCATGTGTCGTAGCAGATGTCGTGTTGATCACAGCATTTTGTCATTTCAGAAAGTGGGAGGTACTCGGAACTTATCTAGATATTTGAAATTATTTTTACATTCTTTTATCCACGAGGAATAGAATTCATTTATTTGATATTAAAATTACCTCAATTCCTAATGACCCGCATCCATTGCTCTGGGGTACGTGATTTTTATTTGGTTTTGGAGTCAATCCTGGAATGGAACAAGTGCAACAAAAATCATCATTTCAAAGTAATTAATTAATTAATTACTGAATTAATACGAGGGATTTACTCTGGATTTTTGTGGCAATAAATTTAATTGAAATCGAATAGATATAATATTAATAATGTTAGTTCAAAATATTTTGAGGTTAATAAATAATTCCATAATGATTCCTCACCTGAGGGACATTGAAAGACACAAGTTTCCTCGACAGCCGCATCGAACACCTCGTGGATGTCCTTCATCTTCCTCGCGACGGTGATGGCATTCTGGAAAAAATCTCCAAAGACTGTCTCTGCAGCTAACACAGCATCCCGAAGATTGCCAAGTAAACCGGTACCATAACCCGACCATGCATACGCCATAAATGTCAAAATATAGACAAAAAATTTTCGATACCTCAGGAGATCCATTTCCTCAAATTAATCGCACATCAATCCTGAATTTATCAAACCCCCAGGTGTTCCCTAGGACGTGTAAAGATTTCACTAGTCGAGACCCACTTCGATGTGTCAAATATATATTTATAGAATAGACCGGACATTTTCTATTCGAATTTCGCAAAATTCCCATCTCCAATCAGCACCAACAATTCTTTAATTACACGAATAATAATAATACTAATAATAATAATAACAATAATGGTGACGATGCTGATAATCATAATCATAATAATCATTATTATTGGTTTGTCATTTTCAAAACTCCCGCCGTCGGCCACCGGAAGTACTCTCTCCCCAAAGGTGCGTCTCAGCTAATCGGTAATAATAAAAATTCGTAATATTTTCGATAAATAATAAAAAAATTGATTAGTAGAGGATATTAGTGGAGGATTTTTGGTGATTTTTGGTGACTGATTTGACTCTGGGAGTGACTTTCCAGCGTCCTCTCCCCCCCCGAACCGCCATATTTGTTTAGTTTGGTGAACGGGTGGGGGATGGAAAAAGCGTAAGCGTATCGGCGGCGTTATTTTGTCAACACTAAGCATTCAATAATCACCGTGTGCTCATTGAAAATGGTTTTATCATGCTGATGGACTGCTGAAGTAATGGTGAGTCATTGAATTTATTTGAATAATCCGGGGTATGAGGGTCTATGGTCCATCGGTTTTCGCGCGATTTTTCGTCTGCGTCTGAATTTTTTCACTCTTCCCCTCTACCTCTCTCACCCCTCCCGCCCCCTCAACCGCCGGTTGCTGTCGTCGGCGACACCACTTTCAAACGCTCCATTTTCATAGATTTTTTTTATTCTGATTTATTGCCCTCCGGAGGAGTCATCTACGGGAGTTCAGGGGGGAGGGGTTTGGCGGGAATTTCGCGGGTTTTTTTTTATGGGGGAGAATTTTCATGTTTGAGGGAAAATGGAGCTTTTGAGTGGAGAACTCGACGACTGGGTCGACCACCCCCGCAAATCGATAATGGACTTTGCGAGGGGACGGTTACCGGTGACAAGAAGAACTCGAGGGGCCGAGGGGAAATATCCAGATTTTTTTTTTCCTTGGAACTGTCACTGGGAAATTTACGATAATTATTCTATTTTATTTTCATGACTCACTAATTTTTTGTTTCGCTTTATCGAATCTCTAGTGCAAGTTTTATGAGAAATTGAGAAAAAACAACAATTACTTGTACAATCCTCGGCTGTTGCAATTCACCTGAGCCTTTTTCCCTTTTATCTTTGGATTTCCTTTCTCTGGTAGAACAATACTGAAACAGTAGAGACAATAGAAACAATAGAAATAACAGAAATAATAGAAATAATAGAAGTAACAACAATTGTAATTAGGATTGTTGAAGGCAGTAGTAAAGAAGAATGTAAAAAGAAAGAAAAAATATTGTAATCTCCAGCAGTGATTGGTCCCGCGATGTGGTTGCGAAGTGAGCACGTGGGTAGACGTCTCCGTGGTCGTATCACCTCGATCTCAAAGCTTCCCCGTCTGCAGACAGCTGGTGTTCGCAAGGTACCAGCAGCGAACAACAGTAGCCAACGCGTCACCACCTCGAGTCGTTGTAATCGTCTGTCCCGTTGGCGTCGTCGTCCACCCTCTCTCCTGAAGGAAGCCTGCAAGGAGAATGTCCTCCACTTCTCCAAAGCCCCACCAACACGTCGAGGTCCCCGTCTTCGCAAACCGATAAAACGCTCGATGGTGACGTCAACCCCAGCCCGTCGCCAGGAGCCGAAGGATCCACCGAAGGGCTCAGAAGAATCCAAAGAGAACTGGACGCTCTTCACTCATCAAAATGATCCAAATCTACCAAAACCCCAGACCACCGATCCCCAGGACACTTCCAAACAAATAACAGACCTTCTGTCACGCACCCTAGACCCCAGCCAGGACCTCTCGAGTCTCCTCCAAGAGGACTCCACCGAGGATACCGAAAATCCTCAAAACTCAGTTCTATCAGTGGTCGATATACTCTCTCTCCACTACTCTGCAATCTGCACAACTGAACAGACGGACGACTACTACAGCAACTTTATGTCATGCAGCTCTTCCTCGACACTTTCCACGAGTTCGTCCACCCTCTCCAGGTCTTTCTACCCCCCGTCATCGACCCAAAAATATTACGAGAATGATTTTCAAAAGAGCAACGATCTCGCCTCGTCGATGGACACATCATCCCTCAAATTTCCCAGCGCACCTGACGACAATGGCAATCTTGATGATAAATATCAGGACGTGGAGTACCAGGAGATCAAGTACATGGACGTTGGCTCCGAGGAGATCGTCGACAGCTGTGAAATGGTTACCCAGGTCCAGGATGACTGGCTACCTTTTGATCCATACGTTTTTATAAAGCATCTGCCACCACTGACACCAGCTATGAGAGCCAGGTGTCCAGCGTTGCCCCTAAAAACTCGTTCAAGTCCTGAATTCAGTCTCGTCCTTGATCTCGATGAGACACTCGTTCACTGCAGCCTCCAGGAGCTATCCGATGCTGCCTTCAGATTTCCTGTTGTCTTTCAGGACGTCACGTACACTGTATTCGTGAGGACGAGACCATTCTTCAGGGAGTTCTTGGAGCACGTGGCTGGACTCTACGAGGTGATTCTCTTCACTGCTAGCAAGAGGGTTTATGCTAATAAGCTCATGAATCTTCTTGATCCTACCAGAAAGCTCATCAAGTACAGGCTCTTCAGGGAACACTGCGTCTGCGTCAATGGGAATTATATTAAAGATTTGTCGATCCTTGGGAGGGATCTTTCTAAGACTGTTATCATTGATAACAGCCCTCAGGCTTTTGGGTATCAATTGGAGAATGGAATTCCCATTGAGAGCTGGTTTGCTGATCGCTCTGATAATGAATTGATGAAGCTTCTACCATTTTTAGAGAATTTAGTACACTGGGGAGGTGATGTCAGGCCACACATTAGGGAACAATTTCGATTGTTCAGCTTTCTTCCACCTGATTAATTTTTTTTTGTCGGTGTTGACATATCGGGGAGGGCACAATTGTCGGTGGAATATCGATGAATATCTATTGATTTCACTTTTTATCCCCTCACTACTTTATTTCACTGTTTTCTTTTATCGATTGACTAATGATAAGCAACTTTGAGCCATTTACTTGTCTCGGAGACAGGGAGAAGCATTTTTTAAAATCAAATTGATCATTGAATTTATTTTCCCCGTGCAGGAAACAATCGTGTAAATGTAAGATTATTATTCATATAATTGGGCCGATATGAACAAAATTAAATGATCAAAACTGTGGAGGATTTTTTAATAACAATTTGAGAACGGCTGGCCGACGTCTTCAAGTCCCCGTTTTTTCTTTGGGCATGATCAATTGAAAAACTGTTGGAATTGTTTACAAATAATATTTTGTAGAGATATTTTTTAATATTTTTCAGTTGTAGAAACGGGTGGAGTTCAGTGAACACCGTACTATGGTATTTTCCGTGCAATTATTTACACAATAGATTTCAATTAATTAATTAATATCAATTAATTATTTTTTGCTCCATTTTGTCGAGTCATTGTGTTATTCTTCCGTCACTTATTATTTTATCCCTCGGATTGTATCGTCTGAGAAGAAAATAAATAAATGACTAATTAATAGATTAATTGTAAGAAATAGGTAAACAAATTGACCCATATAGCGGCTTCCCTGGAGACTAAACTGAGAGAAAAATTATTGGCGTGTCTTAGCTCGTTCTTAAATTCACTGACTTATTCTGAAATTATTAAATTATTGACTTTCTAGTTTATTTTATCGTTGATCCTTCGACGATTAATGATCAATAAATTAATCAATTATTAAAAATCGACGCAATGCTCTGGATTATTGATAATTTTTCACGTCTCAGTCTAGCGCACGTCCATCAAGGAACAATAAACAAATATATATACAAAACACATGAATTATTGTATCTCAAGATGATGATTTAATCACTACTGTTAAACGTAAGGTATGAATGACTTGTTACATGACTCATGCAATTGAGTATTTTAAAAAAATGTGATTGCTTTAATTTTTCAAGCCCATGAGGAATATCAAAGGCAAAAACTGTAGATGTTTTTACAAACAATTATTGTATCAGTCTTACAACTAGCTCTTAATTCATTTTATCGCACAGATTTTTATTTTACACTGACTAATTAGTTGAGTCGATATTCATTACACAATTATGTACCTAGAATTCTATTATAAATATATATGAAATGTAAAAAAAAGTACAAAAATTGTTTTTTTTTTTCATCCTGACCTCGGAATTCTTTAATTTCACATTTCTCTCATACATCACTCATTCAATGATTAAATTCAATCTCGCAATTATCCTTGAGGAAAAAATTAGAGAATTACAGCGAAAATAAATAAATAAATAAAGCCATGAGTCTGGATTACAGAACGGGAAAGTAAAAAAATCCGGACTTCTGTTTTTTTTCGAGTTTAACATTACGATTGTCAATCAAACTGTCCAAGCAGTCCTCACTACCCACTCGCTCTCGATTCGTCCTGTTAGTCGCCTCGTTCTCAATAGTACGTAAGGAAAAAAAGCTGAAACCATGATTTTTTGTTTTTTAAACAATTACTCATATATTTAATATTTTACTACAATTTTAACATCGACGTTAAACGAATTACTCAATTGCACGAGCTTCAGACGACCCTCAGACCCGAAATAACGCCTCCATAAAATGACTTCGTAAAATAAAATAGAGAAAAACTCTAATTAATTGCAAAACAAATAATAAAAATGTGTTATTTTAATGAAAAAAAATTATCTTCATCACATGATTGAACAGAAGACACGTCCGGTTGAGTCAAATTGATTTTTACTGTCAGCTAGACACAAAAATTTCGGTTTATCAACGTCCATGTATCGGATCTCGATGTATCTGAAGCTCGAGCAATCGAGCCCCTCCTAATCCTCGCTACGTTGGAAATACCTCTTCTCGATTCTTTTACAAAGATCAACCAGATCCGGAAACTCCTTGACAATCTCAGCAAGTCTCCTAGCAGGTATTGGTGTTGTTAAGATAGTAAAAAGATGTCCAAAAACGAGAGCATCGAGTTCCTTAGGACCTCTGAAATAATTCCAAAAATCCCAATAATTCCCATCGACAATTAACCAACAATTAAAATCTAAAAGTGATAAGTAAATTTTTTTATTGAATCGAGGAGCTATTGGACAGTGGAGGAAGGATCTCAATAGAGTCAGAAATATTCCACAG